TGCAGGATCTGTGGGGGGTTTGCAGGCTGCAAAGCCCCCCACAGATCCTGAAAACCCCCCACAAGTCCTGCAAAGCCCCCCACGGATCCTGCAGAGACCCCCTGAGACCTTGCAGTCTGCCAGATCTCAGGGGGGCTGTGCAGGATCTGTGGAAGGCTTTGCAGGCTGCAGAGCCCCCCATGAACCCTGCAAAGCCCACCAAAAGGTATTGCACAGCCCACCTGCGACTCTTTGGTGGGCTGTGCATAATCTATGCTGGGCCCTGCCAGCACAGTGCTCCTACCTTACACGGGAAGCCCAGCCTTCACTGCTGCCTCGGCGCCCAATCGTCTCAGCTTCGCCGCTCGACTGGCCCCTTAGCGACGCCTCCTCCATCGCGGTCTTTGCCTCCTCAATCTTCACAGGCCTCTTCCGGCCCTGTCTCATGCCGCTCAGTCCCCCATCTCCTCCCGTCCTCCATCTCCGCCCCCATCTCCCTCTGTCTCCACCCCCTGCCGCTCCGTCCCCCTTCTCCTCCTACTCGCCGATTTCTCCGCCTTCGACATTAGACATGTAGGCTGCCTTAATGTTTTGGGGCCTGAACGTGGGCTCGCGTGCCAGCAGAAAGGGCCTCGCGTGCCATAGGTTCGCCAGCACTGACCTAAGGTTTTGCAAGAGTTACCTAACCACCCTGTGCTTAAATCATTTTGGGGTTCTTGGAGACTTACTTTAGCATCAAAGGTCAGCTCTTGGGTTGAATTTGCTGGGCTGGCCAGTCCTGGACAAATTAGCATTGGTTTTATCTTGTGTGTAACCAGCACTTCAGCCGGCTTCTGACAGCTTTGAAGCAGGAAGCATTAGAGCACAGCACTTTCTGCTTCACTGATCACAGAGCAGATCGGGGAATGGACGTGTGCTCCCATTCTCCATCCTGACACTGTTTGCTGTAGTCCTGAACCCCCAAGAAGAGTGGCGGACCCCGATAACCACAGTCAGGGGCGTATCTGCCGCGAGGCAAACAAGGTGTTTGCCTCGGGCGGCAGATTCCTAGGGAGTGGCAAAAATGCTTGGGTCTCAATGTACCGGCTCGCGGACCAGTTGCGGCCCGCGAGCCGGTACTTTGTGACCCGCAGCCAGCTCAGAAGTCAGGTACGCGGTCACGAGCCACATACCTGACTTGCTGCAGCAGCTACGCAGTCTGCATCTCACAGCGTCCAGATCACTTGTAGAATCCTGCAAATGTGGTACCTGTGGACACAGTGCTCTCGGTCCTGATGGACGTATACATACCTGCATGACCCAGCAAGGCGTTTCTTAATCCTCAGCGAGAGGGGGTTATGAAACATCATGAAAGCCTGGTTATCTGACTCCCTAGTGTCATCTGAAGTGAAATGCAAAATGAACATTCACTAATGAAAAATCGATGAAAAAAAATATCTGGGAGCCCTGGATACAAATTTTTTTACCACTGTATTTTGACCGTCGTCTCATAGACCTGTGGATGAATGAAGTGTAGGGGAACCCCAGGGATGCCTTTTCACCTTGACCCCGACCTATTCCCTCCCTTTCCTTTTTCTACCTATTTTTTTTCTTTTACCCCTACTCTTAAAAGCACCCAAAGTACATTCAATCCACCTTCAAACCTAAAGGATGTGGGGGCCAATTCTGGCGCCTGTATTGAACAGACTAATTCTGGCGCCTGTATTGAACAGACTACTGCATTACTGTACATGCTTACATCTGCGATTTGACTTCATCTATGTCAACTGTTATTGTTGTGATATTGTCTGTATTGTCGGCTATCAGATTTGTAAAGCCTTACGTTGTACTTGACCTACTTTGTCACTCTTAGTTTGTAATATTGTACTTCTATTACCTTGAAATTTACATAAACATTTTTTGAACAAAAAAGAAACAGTCTGAAAGCTTGAAATATTTACGATATAAGCAAATCAGAATTCTTCTTTAGTTTTCTATAGAATGAAAGGTGATACAACAGGGTGCCACTAGCATACTACATATTTTGTATCTCTTGGGCTTGATTTAAATATTAAATATTGAATATATATTGAATATTGAAATATTAAATATGAAAATATTTTAAAAAAATTTAGAAGCTTACTTTTTTTTTTTTTTGATTCTTCATCATATTAGAGTTATACATACAAGTATAAATAAACTTAAACTTTATCACTGAACAGTTAGGAAACTCTCTTGATGTAAATCTTTTTTTTGGTTTATTCAGACACAAGGCTAAAAATATGAACATATTTTACATTGTTCTTTTAAAGCTCACATAATATATTTTACTTCATTCTGTTTCCCAAGTTGTAAACATTTGTCCACACTGCATCACTTGCATTTTGTAAGGATATAATTTATGAATGTACAGGAAATATATAACAGACAAAGTTTTTGCAAGATAAGAAATATATAAAAGTAGCTTATGCTTTATGGTATGATGACAGGTTCTTGATAGGGCCACCATACATAGTAGCTCGATGGGGTAACTGCATTTTTTTTGGTTTATCCCAGCTAATGTTTACACAGGAATGCTTACATAATGGAAGCCTGGTCTTTTTTTTAATCTTATCCTGCCAAAATACCAGGGAACTGCCGCTCTGGATAAATTAATGAAAGCTGAACTTCAGCCTTACCATCCAGCCATTGTACAGGCCAGTGGCGTATTTTGGTTTTGTGCTGTCCTAGGTTAGACTAAACTCGGGCACCCCCCTTCCTGTTTAAGACATTTTGTGTAACCTGTCAGTTGCTGGATATAGCGTGCACAGTGTATCCAGATTCTGACAGGTTGTACTTTTAGTTTAGCAGGGAAGCCCGCTGTGCATTTTGCTTATCCTGTCAATAGTAACAGGTGCATGCTGTATCACTTGGGTTTTGCGGGGTCTCAGGTGGTGGGCTGTGTGGAGTCCCAGGTGGTGGGCTGCGCGGGGTCTATAGTGGACTGTGCATGGTCTATTGTGTACTGTGTGGGGTCTCAGGTGGCGGGCTGTGCGGGGTCTCAGGTGGTGGGCTGTGTGGGGTCTCAGGTGGCCGGGTGTGCAGGGTCTAAGGTGGGCTGTGTGAGGTCTCAGGGGAGTTGTGTGTGGTCTTAGGTGGTGGGCTGTGCAGGGTCTCTCTCCCTGCACCCATGTGCTGCTCCTCTTACCTGCAGCCTGAAGTGCCATCAGTACCAGCAGGGCACATTGCAGCCCCCCAGCCTGCCTCTGGGGCATCCTACCATCAGATCCCATACTATGGCCAGCCCTGAGCCACCTGCTGCTTCTCCTCCATCTCCATCTCTAATTAAGCAGGTGTTCGTGTGGCCTTGCGGCCGCCTAATTAGGCAGCTGCCACTGCCTGATTCTGTGCAGCCCAGCTTGCCTCGGCCCACCGGACAAGTGCAAGATATGCCCGATGGCCAGTCCAGCCCGGTCTGCCTCACTGGTTTTGGGGCGGCATTTTTTGTCTCCCCCCTGGAAAGTGCCACCCATGGCTCCTCTCCTGTACTGAAATTGCTTACCCTGATTTCATAGCACACTGTAAGCTTCTTACAATGTGCATTAGAAGCTGAAACAAGTCAAATAGAGCTTGCTTTATTTCCCAGCTGGAGGACATCCAGCATCATCTAGTACTTTTCGCATCATGAAGTACTCTTCAGCCTTATTGTCCTTGGCCAACCCCTTTCATTCATTAGATTTCAGATCTTCTAATCTTCTAATCGGCTCAGTAATACACGTGGGCTTTACCACAACTTTCTGGTTCCAAAAACCCTGCTGGCCCCTCCCACCAGCCATAATCCGCCTGCATTGCATAGAAAATCACATAGCCTAGTGATGATGTCAGTGGGTCTAAAATAAGGTGTGTCATGAAAATTAAAAGGTTTTATGTAATCATTTCATTAGCATGTTGGTGAGGGGTGAAAGAGGAACTATGGAAGGCAAAATATAAACAGGTTAAAGATCCATTTTATGAATGGGAATGCCCTGCTGCACAAATACTATATCCATACTACAAGGTAGGTGGATTTACTGTAGCAATGTAGGAAGGAGTTCTGAAACAAACTGACCAGGAGTCAGGGAGCATACACTGTGACTAGAGCAGAAATGTGGTCTCAATGAAAGTGCCAAGAGGGAAGATCACTGGAGAGGGGCAAAGGATTGGATGGGAGGTGGAACAGTTCTCTTCTGCGCAGCAACTAGAAGGGATGGAAGTGGCTCCAATGCCTACTAGAGGAGTGAAGAAATGGTCTGGCTGGGAAGTTGAGGAGCCTGGAGTGACCTGCCTTCAGAGTTTGAGATAGGGACTGCAGTGGCTAACAAAAATCTGTGGAAAGAAAAGTATTTTTTCTTTCTACTTTAGGATGATGAGGAAAAATAACCCTTCTGCAAAACTATTGCTGAAGAGTAAACTGGGCATCCTATTGTAAACTGGCCAATATGGGAACCAGCTTGCATTACGTAAGTAAGACACATGATCCAGTGAGGTTCTGCTGTATATTATTAACTGTATGACTGTGGAGTGTAGAAATTACTTGCTGCACACTTACTACAACAGAATAGGTTAAAGTAATCACCAGATGCAAAAAGCGTGACACAAAAGGACCCAATTTATTAGGCTGTAGGTAACCCTAATATTTTTGATGGCGGCCCTGACTCAAGAACTCTACAATACAAGCTCTGCTATCTCCTTGGAAGAGGAAGCTTTATTTGTGATTTTAGTCCCAGAGTCTTGTCAACTTCTTCTGCTGGCTGAAGACTGTGCCACTGTGCTATGGGTCTTCGAGGATGTGCAAGCATGTCTGACCAGTGTCTCAAAGCGTTTCCTGATGCTCGGCAGCCTAAAAATATCTTTCCAATCTGCTCATTTTTATTGAGTTTATCATGGTCCCACACTGAGATTATCAGGTCCACATTCTGAGGAAGAGAAGAAAATCGTTATATATACATCATAGAATTCGCTACCCTAGTGGGTTGTGCAGTACAAAGAGTATATTATAAAAGTTGTAGGTTTATGTCTTTGAAGAAGGCTACACATGTAGCTGTATCATGACTGCTGAACAGAAATTCTAAAATATAATAGACAGATATTGCTAGCAGAAGATGAAATGTGTGTGTTAATTATTGTATGTTCCATTCAGACCTGAATTTGCTCCAGTGAGACATCAAAAGCAAATTCCTCATTGAAGTATGGATTTAGCGTTTTCTTCTTTATCGCTGTCTTTTTTCTCTTCCATTTCTTCTTATTCAGAGCCAGCTGCACCTTCACGTATGGGTCTGTGGGGCCAGAATTTCGTGTTTGTTAACAGCAGTTATTAGTACATAATATGTTATACCAATGTGGTCTTTTAAGGAATAGCACGCGTGTCTTTAATTCACAGCAACATTTAAACGTCTAGATGGGCAAATTGTGTTGCCAATTGGCAGTCCGCTGAAATCAGCAGATCAGGAACTGTGCAAGAAAATCAGGGTAAGGAAATCCATCTAAATTAATGAATTTCCTATTTACCTGATGCACTGAAAATCAGGAATGTAAATTTGCTTGATCCATTGTGTTGCAGCATACACTAAAAAAGACATTCCCAGAAGGGTGGAGGCTGTTATAACCACAAAGAGGGTGAGATACACCTTATTAATGCCCATGGGTTTGGAATGGGATGTCCAACATGCTCATATAGAAGTGATGGTTAGTTGTCAACAAAATGTGGGCATTTTTTAAAATAAAATATTACAGGTAAATAAAAAGAAAAACATGGGCAAGTTAGCAAATATCCTGATTGATCTGCACACTTTAGATCAACTCATCTGCAGGCAAGTTAAAAATCAAGTCAATCAATCACCTTTCATCAGAAACCATTTTTCGTTGATGCGATATAAAAAACTGCTAAAAGTTGAGCTTTGGTTGGTTATGATCTTGGAAGAATTATGCAAATGTTGAAGTCCATTGCATCAGAACCATGTTTAATCACAAAAAAATAAAGAAATATGCTAAAACATATGATACTAAGAAGATTAAAGGAGAACTATGGGGTTTGGGCTTTTCCCCATAGTTCTCCTTAGGGTAACGGGAGGACACAAACTAGCGTCCTCCCGTCACCCTAAGCTCAGTATACTGAGACGCCGCAGCTGAAGCGGATCCCGACAATTATGTCTGGGTCCGCCCAGCTGCGTGAGTGACAGCTGGCTCTGCCTATCTAGAGGCAGAGCCAGCTGTACCCGCTCCCTCCCCCGTCCGTTCCGCCGGTCAGTGCTGAAGGATCGGAGTGGGGAGGGGGGAATCCCGTCCCTCCCCTGTCACGGCAGAGTGCCGTGACAGGATTGAGAAGTGAGCGAACGCCAGTATGTGTTCGCTCACTTCCCGATCTACTGAGCCGACCTGTGACAGTTTAATTGTCACAGGTCGGCTAGAACTATGGGGATGAGTGAAATGCACTCACCTCATAGTTTTCCTTTAAAGGAATCCTGTGCTCAGGGGAATATGTGGGTTGCTATTGCTGACCTCGTCATGAAAATGCTAGGTGCCGGACTGTCTCACTTCAGTACTAAGTCACTGACCCAGAACAAGTATGCAGATTAGGGAAGTCAGAGTCTGGTCACAACTCCTTATATTCATACTTTTCTTGGGATAGTGACATAGAAAGCACAGAAGCCATGAGATCAGTATGATGATCAGAGAACTAAAATTTCCCAGCAGAGAGGCTAGCATTGGCAGCCTTCACACCTCCTCAGTACATGCCTACTCTAAAACAGGACATCTGTCTTTGTATGAAACCAAAAAAAAATGTTTATGATAAAAATTTTCTATTTGTACACCGTTATTGCAAATATAAATTGAACCCAAATTATCTTTTGAGTGGTAAATCACCTGAGAATCCATCATTGTCCATTCTCTTAAGTTTTCTTCCCTCGAGAATGACCACAACAAGTTTTGACGTCACTGGGATGTATTTTAAAGAGAAGCAAATATCCCCAAGTTTTTCATACTGCAAAAGATGGAAGCGTGAAAAAGGAAATGTTTAGATGGTCACAAAATCCCAGATACATGGCTCGGCATTGGTGCACTTGTCATTACCTCTGATTTTCCTGCAGGTGCAAGGTCTTTCCATTCCTCAATGACCTGATTCAAATCCATGTCCCGCAGTGCCAGGCGCACCTCCCCAATCACATCATGTTTTGAAAAACGGTTGAAGTCAAAGATCTGCATCACAACATCTGTTTCCGCTGTGTCTGATTTGAGAAGCTGGAGAAAAGAACATAAAAACCGTCATTGGACTTCTACAGGTAAAGAGTTTGTGTAGATTACTTGTTCTCAACCAAACATTACTGTTAGTAATGATCATAGCTCCATAATTCAAACAACAATAACTCACTACAATCAATCAGCTGTCAGCTTTCATGCTTCCGACCTTGTTGATTTGGTTGATATAAGTAACTGCACTTTGCATCTCACCATTGTTCTTTAATGAATGCACTTTTTAAATGTTGTTTGAATCATTTTCCATTCTTAGAATGTATTTGCTACATCATTCTGTTCTCTGAAATACAAGTACACTGCATGTCTCCTGATTATCACATCTACTGGTTAAAAACAAGCTATATAAACACGGCAATGCTTATTACTAAAAGAAAGTTGTCAGGTTCTGCTTTTATATAGAACGGCTGACCACTACTGAGACATACAGTATGTATGCAGCATTGCAGTTATCATGTAGCTGTGTTCTTCCACAGAGACCACACTGTCAGCCACAACCAATATTGCAGCAAATGATTATTATTTCAATTATGGTGGCACTGGCTCATTTGTCCTGGTTTTAAAAACGCTTGAGAACACAACTTGCTGGAGATTCTGATGCTTCCATATATGACATGCGTACCAGAGAATCTCATTCTCCGAAATATAACATTTTTGCAAAATCCAGTGGGTTACCCTCTGTAATGGATAGTGAGCATACCTGGGAACCCAAGTGGCACAATAGTACCCAATAGATATTAAAGTGACACTAAACTCTTAAAAATGCATTCAAGTACATTAACTATTAACAAAAATTAACCTTATTTGTGTATCACTCGGCTGTAGATCCTCAATCATCTCTGAATTGGTGCTGACACTGTCCTTCCTTCTGGAGGGTGGCTTCTTTTGTTCCCCATGGTCCCTGTGTGGGTTGTAAAGTAGCCACCGCTCCAAGCTCGCTCCTGTGATGGACTACAATCTCATGTTTAGTTTACCAATTTGTAGGGATGCACCGGTATTTCGGTATCGAGTACCGATATTTTTTTCGGTACTCGTCAATACCGTATACCGATACCGGAAGTCCCATTAAGGCAGCCAGGCGGCGTGTAATGACTCGCCACCTGGCTTCCTGATTAGCCGGAAACTGGGCGGCATATAAAGATTTGCCACCCGGCTTCTCGATTAGCAGTGAAGCCATCCCCATGCTTCTCGTCACTATGTGATGAGAAAGTATGGAGCCGGCTTTCAGGCCAATCAGGAAGCCGGGCGCCGGGTAATGATGCGACGCCCGTCTTCCTGATTGCCTAGGAAGCCGGCTCCATGCTCCCTCGTCATGAGGTGATGAGGGAGTATGAAGCCGGCTTCCCGGCCAATCACGGAGCTGGGCGCGGTGCCATTACACAGCGCCCGGCTTCCTGATTGGCCAGCTTCACGACCAATCAGGAAGCCGGGCAGCGCGTCATTACAAGTGACGAGGGAGCATGTGGCCGGCTTCCCGGCCAATCAGGAATTGAATATTCACTTCAATTATCAAATCACATAAAAAGCAACTTCCTGTTTACTTATTCCATCCTCACATGTTTGGAAAACTGAAGTGAATAATCACACAATTAATTGTGCAAAGATTCTCAGCTCCTTTAGTAAATGAGCCTAGCAGCCTTAAAGTGTATTTCCACTTTGGAAGCCAAATTGGAATAACGCCTATTTTATATGTGTTACATGTTTCCAGTCACATAGCATAAGCTAAAAAAAATATTCTTATTGCAGTTTACATTGTTTTTACATGGGTTAGGGTTTTATTGAGTTAAAATTTCTTCTAGCTTCTATTTCTTTGAAATGATAGAAGGGGCTGTGAGGAGTCCAATGTGGCTTGCCCATTGTGTGTTAATGAAGCTTATCAGATCAACACAATCCTCAAATTTCAGCCCCAAGCCTTTTTATAAGGACAGACCACTGTGAAAGGGCTAAGAAAAACCTGGAATCAGCCATCTTGCCTGATTTAACAAAACATCTAAAAGGTAAGAATTTTTTTGTAAAGTTATTTTTCAGTATGCTGTATGAACAGGAACACATGATGAACATATAGAGGGGTTTTCCCAAATTTGACTGCCAAAGTGAAATTACACTTTAAGACAGTCAACTGCTTTAACTGTAGGCAACTGTAGACTGATGCATGCTGACTATGAACAAACTTTCCTAGTAGATATAACAGGCTTTTCAAACTCCATTTAACAAGCTAATGAAATAATAGATATTTAATACTGTTTGACATTTGTCATTTTACATTATCGAAATAGAATATTCTCCAGGAAATGGAAATCTGACTTTATTATAGAACTGGGTGAGATGTATGGGAACTTCCTTCATTCTACCATCCATCTAGCGATATATGTTTACAGGTAATGTTCTGTTTGTACATGCTTGAATATACAATGAATACAATTTAAGCTCTGTCTCTATTGTCACAGGATCAGGAAATGACTAAATGGAATTCACCTGTAAGGTTGCTTATGAAACGTCTTATGAAAATCTTGTACATTTTATTTGCCATGTTTATTGATTTGTTGTAAAGGTAATATTATATCTACAGTGCAAGTCTTCAAAGTAAATCTTAACCTAAGGACAGAAATGTAGTTTATTGCAGCTTACCAGTTATTAGATGTGGAGGCTGCATTAGTTTTATTTTTTCAGGCTAAAAATATTTTCTGCAAAGTGCAGGAAAATAGCTTCTTGCTAGAAATCCAGTGTCAGTGTTATCAGCTTTCCTAGTTATCCTGTGTGGACTACCTACAGAACACCTCTCTTACATGTAATGGATATGGGGAGAGGGGGGGGTGATTTAAGTCCAAATCAGGAGAGCAGCCTAGGGTGACAACGTTGCTTTTCCACAGATACAGATAGTATGCATTGTCCTAGGAAGCCCCCTGTGGGATATCAAATTTACAGTGTCAAGTCCTCTCTATGGAGACATCAGGGGTCTTTTAGATCCCTAATGTCACCTTGGGACCCCCAGAGAAGCTGATGAAGCATAGATATGCTTCACCACCCTCTCTCTGGCTACAGAAGCCAGAGAATAACAGCTGAATGCGTAAGTGATGTAATAAGTATCACTTCTGCATTCAGAGACTGGAGAGGAGATCAATGGGAGATCAGATAGGCGGCGTTAGAGGAGGGGGGCCGCACACTCGTTGACATTTGGGAGCAGAGATATCAATGATAGTAGCTCTGCTCCCAAATGCTATTCGGGACTCCATGATGTCAATAAAGGGGTGGAGCAAGTCCCGTGATGTCACTACTCGCTCGGCCCTTTTGCTCACAGTTGGGTCAGAGATGTAATTTTGCGGCGAGAGTTCGTCAGGATCGTGTCGGCGGGCATTGGGTATTTTTTTCTTTAGGCGAATCGGTGGCTGTTGTTCATCATGATTGGCATAGCTCTACATCGCTGGACGATGTGATTGACCTTTGGATTACATTGATGGACACTTTTTTTTTGTTTTTTATAAAGGAATTGTCAAAAATCTGTGTTGAGTTTTTGTTTTCAAATACAGGACTTATATACGGTGTTGTATGTTTACTTACGATTGTACTCTTTTCCTGTTTGGTGAATGAGTAGGGGGATTTGGAAGGGGACTCCATACTGTTTTTGTTTAAATTTTAACATTTAACAACAAAATTTCATTCAGAATGACATTCAGAGAAATTTCGGATACATCCTAATTTCGTTATCGGATTCGTAACTATTTCATTTCAACTCGGAACTAAACGAATCACACATGTCTACTGGTTTGGGAGACATTAAATTGGTGGGTAAAGTTCCTCTTTAAATAAAACTGTCATGAGAGAAATATGGTGGTTGTCATTGCTGACCTTCATCTGTAAATGCTAGTTGCCTAGCTTATTCCGATGTTCTGGCTTCACTACTTTTTGAGCCACTGGCCTAGAACATGTGTAGACTTCAGGAAAGTCGGAAGTACTTATCTTAGTTGTTCCAGGTCAGTAACTCAAAGTACATGCAAGAGGGTAGGAAATACAGCCACACACCTAACATTTTTAGGAGAGGACAGCAATGGTAGACTTCATGTTTTTTTTAATGAATGTTTTCCTTACCTACAGACATAAATTATAATCTGTTCTGGCTGATTGTTGTTGGATCACACAAGCATCCTCATGCTACAAATACACAAATAACATAGCAAATATTCAAGTTTTGAGTTCAGTTCCATTTAAGTTCTCCTGCTTCCTTCAAAGCAAGATTTACTTCACTTGATTTAATTTCATTAGACTTTAATAAATTACCTTCTCGTTAGCATATTGACACTTGAACCCTGGATTAGCATTTTGGTGTTTGAGATCCAGCAATTCTGTGTAGAGGCCATAATCCACCTGAAGAGCCCTTCTCAACAGCATATCTTCTATACTAATCAGTAAATATTTAAATGTCTCATGCTTAACATGGTTCACTTTAAATTTGATCTGCAACATTTTGTATCCATCAAGTCGGTGATATTTAATATACCTTAAAGGTGAAGGACTCGTTGAAGGAAGGGTTCAGTGTCTTGCGATACACTTTGGTCTCATTTTTTTTGCGGGGATCGTTAGTCAAGTACACTATGACATAAGGGTCTGATGTTCCTCCGCTGTCCATAGCTTTGAGATCGGCAGCTTGCTTCACTAAAACAGTAATCTGTATTGAAAGAAACCCAACAACGGCATAAGACCATTAAGAGAAGACAGAAGAAATTACACTTTGCTACAATGTAAAGTAGTGAGTGTGCAGCTTGTATCAGTACAGACTATCTCAAGCAGTCTTTACAGCAACACTTCATATTCACGCAAGATCCCAAAAGACATTTACTATATGGAAATAGGATGCCATAATATAATTGAATACAAATACTAAATAGACATTACTCGTTGTGGGGAACAGAATATATATATATATACTGTATATAAAAGCATCATCTATATGGCTAGAGTTCGGCTCTCTGTCACAGACAGTAATTGTAAGATTATGTCAGAGGTCTTCCTACCTCCTCCGTTTTAAAATTGTATTCCACTGAGTACTGAAGTCGGCCAGGGTACTCATTTTCCTGTGATTTCTGTAGTCCTTCTATATCTGGCTGCACCTACAGGACATTAGGAAAATGGTTACAGCATCATTTTAATAAATAAACATATACAGTTTATGAGAAACCGTGACATATGTCACCCATTAAACCCAAAGCACAAGTTATAAATGATGACCCTTCATTCTGAATTCTCAAAGGCATGTATTTTTAAATGTTTGCACAGCTCTTTGTCCTGCAAAACTGCTCGTACATTTGTTCTGTGAGAATGGGTGCAAAAACAAATGTTATTAGTCTATTTTCTTTCCAGGTGGAATGTAATAAGATTCAAGTGATTCAGGAAGATATCGCATTATGGCCACTAGATGGAGCTTAGGAAATAAATATTATTTCCTATGCGCCTCAACTCCATCTAGCGGCCCTTAATGCTGTATTTTCCTGATATGACATTTAAAGTGGAAAGAAAATATACTAACAACATTAATTTTTACACCATTCGTACAGAATAGATCTATGTACAGTTTTGCAGGACAAATGGCTCTGCAAATGTATTCGAAATACATCCCTAAAGTGTATCTAAAGCCAAAACTTTTTTTTGAGTCAAGAAGGATTAGCAATCCTGTCAGATTTTTTTAACTGTTTATGTCCCTGGTGGGGAGATGCACCTTTGCGAATTGTCTTTCTGACCATTGTAATAAACACTGAAAATGATACACAATCCAAAAGTTTGAGTTGTCATGGAAACAGTGACAGAAACAACGTTTTACAATGGGGACACTTGTTGCAGTGACGGTTATGAAAGCATTTCCCTCTCTATGGAGAGATGACCACTAACATCCTGTTGCGTCAATGGAACAGGACGTGAAGGTAAATTTTTCTAATAGGACACAGAAAGCAAAAAAAAACCAGGGGGTTTCCCTATCTGGTTTTAACCTTTTCCTACTTAAGATACACTTTATACTGTTCTTTATTGTCATAGAAGGACATGTCTTAACCACTAACGCTAGGATCCACATTTTACACCTTGCCGAAGGATGTGCATTGCAGCACAGTGTAGCAGAACATGCGTCAATGCCTTGATGCAACACACATTAATTTGTGTGTGCTAATGCACCGCAATATTGTGAATGGGCTCTTATAAATGGTTACGTTTAATATGGGAAGTGCTTTCTCAGTTGAAACTGCAGTCAATACACTTTACTGAAGCTGTGGGAATATTTGAGTGTGGGAAAATCTTTGCTAGGCCTCATTCTTGTAGGAGGGCTTTGGTGCTAATTGAGGAGAACCAGGGAAGCTGATGGCTGCTGGAGACACTTGGAATAAAGAGGAGCTCAGGAAAAGGTCTGGTGTCTCTCCTATTCTGTACCTATCCGTATTCAACTGTACCGCAAATGGATCTACATTGAATTACTGAAAAGGACTGGTGAGTCTGGAGTCTGTGTCTATTCTATCTTGGATGTCTAGGATCCCTATACCCTCTCTCCACATTGTGGATACGTTAATAAAGTTCTTCAGCATTATACGTCTGGCCTGGATTTCAACTATATTGGTCATTAGAAGAGGGCGGTTAATGCTAATGGGGCAGCTGGTTACCGAAATCACCTAGACAGGCTATTGATGACCCGGGTTATTCTGGCGGCTCCTTTGGGGGTGAGCGCTACACTACATTTACCTTGATTTTGTCATCTTTACCGTAAAACAAACTTGATGGACTTGTTTCTCAGTCACTTTAACTATGTAACTGTCTAACAATAATTAACATAGTAAAACAATAACTTTCAAAGTAGTTTGCACAAATTTTATTCTTCTGAGGTTTTCTGTTTTTTTTTAACATTTTTCAGGAACTGGGGATTCTTGTATCTGAGGTCTAAGGTCTATTTACCTTCTGCAACCATAACTAGAGCGTTTAATTGCTGACTCCTTTGTATATTTTACATCATGGAAAATAGAGCAACCCCTCTCTCCAGATATAGTGTCAGGCCCGGATTCCCCACAAGGCCACCGAGGCCCGGCCTCGGGGCGGCAGGGCGCAGAGGGGCGGCAGCGTTGTCCTTGTGGGGAAGTTTGCCCTCTCTACATTCAGTCCTGCTTTGTACAAGCAGGACTGAATGTAGAGTGAGGCAGACGATTTTTCATTTACATGTGAAATCGGCGCACATATAAACAGTGTGCAGCCGGTCCGTCCATCTTCCCCTCCCCCCTGCACTTACCTCTCTCCTTTGCTTCCGTCCTCCTCCGCCGAGTCCCTGACTGCAGTGAGCAGAGCGGCAGGGTTATACAGTAAGTAACCCTGCCGCTTCATGTAGACTGTAGACAGTGAGAGGGGAGAGCTATGCTCTTCCTCTCTCACCTGTCACAGAAGTTCTAGAACAGTGCTGTGCTAGAACTCCTGTATTGGAGGTGACAGGATCAATAAAGAGAACCTGTCACCTCCAATTGCTATTACACAGGGGATTGTTTTCTCCTGTGTGATAGCAATAAAGTTAGGTGAAAAAAAATTACATTGATAAAAAATGTAAAT